TGTTTATGCATTATTGTTATTGTATTTCATCTGGGACAAAATGGCGTAAACATAGTATGCAGTGAAAGTAGGTAAAAGGTTATTGCTTAAAGAAACATGTATGAAAAACAATATGTTCCATTTCTAACACCTTGTCAGTTTGCAATATCTCTTAAAGACAAAGTACACAGTTTGAGAAATACAATATTTGCATTTGCCCATAACAATGTATTTTGCCGCCGCCCCCAAGAAAACCCAATACATCTTCACCTGTTTGTCTTATAACCCCCCTTTTGAATTTCTTACCCCCTTTAGTGTATTTTATCCCCTCTTACAATCCCCCTTATGTATCTCTTACTTTCCCACCAGCCCCTTTGTTTATCTCTTTCTTCACCCCAGCCTCTTTCTGTGGCTCTCCTGCCTCAGCCCATTGTGTTTGTCACTCATCCAGAGGTACCTTTTGTGTGTCACTTTCCTCCCAAGTCATATAGACATAGACGTGCAGGTAACAATTCATACATGCACAGAGACACAAACATACAGGCTCACAGACAAATATTCAGGCACACAGTCACAATGACATCCAGGCACACAATCAACCCCAATGTACAGACATACAGGCACACAGGCACACAGTCATGCAATCTACACATTCAGGTGCACTGTCATACAAACACAGGCATATAGTTATACAGACACTGTCATACAGAGACATATAGAAGCAGCCATACAGAAACAAAGACGCAGGCATACAGAGACAGGCATACAGGGACAAAGATGCAGTACATTCACAGGCATACAGAGACATACGTTCACAGTCATACAAAGCAATATGTTCACAGAGTGACATGTCTTGGGGGACAGAGTGACAGGGAGTTGGAGCCTGTAAAAAAATCAGAGTCCCTTGTCAATGGCTGGGTATTCTGATTTTTACGCCCCCCTGCAGTGGCGCCCTGTGGCCGCCTTGTGGATGGGCCAGCCCTGCTGTTCGGAAAGCGTATAATTTCATTAAATTCCCAGATTAATTGGCCACCACATTTCCCTGACCTTTCAGCTTCCTATTACTTCCTATGGAAAAGTCTGTAGGAGCAGGTGTACGTGAACGAGCCGTGTACACTTGAGCTGCTCAAGGAGAATATCCATGCAGAAATTAGAGTGCTAGAGTCTCAAACATTAACTAATGTTATGAACAATGCAATAGAAAGAGCCTGACTTTGCAAGGCGGCAAATGGAGCTAATTTAAAAGATGTAATTTTCCATACCTTTTCATTAATTAAAAAAAAAAGGTTATTGGCTTCTCAAACCTTACGGCAGCAAGGCAGGAAAACTTAAAATTATGATTTATCTTGAATCAGACAATTTATCCCTAAATACTGAATTCTGTGAGATAGATAGATAGATAGAGAAAAAAACCTAAAACATACATAGATAGACAGTTGTTGATATGAAATAAAATACAGTGATAGTGATTCAAAAAGTATTGAGGAATCATATTTGTACTATTACTGCTGTATTGTTCTACTTTTTATATATTTTAATGTATAGTGCCAGTTTTAGAACTTTGAATTAAATCTTAATTCTTTATTGAGTTATTAGACTCTTTTATATATCCTTTATTACAAATGGAGAACTGACTCTTTGATGAAGATTAATTTTTCTTTGAAGAGAGAAATTAAAAATCAACAAATTAATGGAACATATGTACTCTGCGGGGGATTGTGAAATAGTTATGTGAGAAAGGAGGTTGGTTACCATGAAGCAAGCTGCCTCTCTTATATTAGAAGAAAACATTATGACATGTTATCCTCCTTGATGTGAGCAGGGATAGGGAAGCTTTCTATGTTGCACAGAACCAGCTGGCCCTTCATGCAGATCCACCAACATAGAAAACTGATCATTTATAGAATCTGATCTGGTTTCCTACGTAAAGTGTGCTTATTCATTTTATTTGGGTCAACAAATTATTTTTGCCTTAAGTTTTTCCTCTGAAAGTTTTTTTTTTTTAACATTTGCCTTTTTTGTTTGTTTTATTATGTCCAGGACTTGTCTAACCTCTTTTATTTAGTCATTAATGTAAAGAAATACAGTATTTTCTTTTGGCTGAGTAATGCATTATTTAATGACCTTGATTAAAGGTTGAATCTGAACTTAAAATCTACACTGAACGAAAATTATAAATGCAACACTTGTTTTTGCCCCTATTTTTTCATGAGCTGCACTCAAACATCTAAGACTTTTTCTGTGTACACAAAAGGACTATTTCTCTCAAATATTGTTCACAAATCTGTCTAAATCTGTGTTAGTGAGCATTTCTCCTTTGCCGAGATAATCCATCCACCTCACAGGTGTGGCATACCAAGATGCTGATTAGACAGCATCATTATTGCACAGGTGTGCCTTAGGCTGGCCACAATTAAAGGCCACTCTAAAATATGCAGTTTTACTGTACTGGAGAGTCCGGGGGGGTAAAAAAAAAACCAGTTAGTATCTCGTGTGACCACCATTTGCTTCACGCAGTGCAACACATCTCCTTCGCATAGAGTTGATCAGGTTGTTGATTGTGGCCTATGGAATGTTGGTCCACTCCTCTTCAATGGCTGTGCGAAGTTGCTGGATATTGGCAGGACATGGAAAACGCTGTCGTATACGTATCCCAAACATGCACGGGTGACATGTCTTGTGAGTATGCTGGCCATGCAAGAACTGGGATGTTTTCAGCTTCCAGGAATTGTGTACAGATCCTTACAACATGGGGCCGTGCATTATCATGCTGCAACATGAGGTGATGGTCGTGGATGAAAAACTGCACATTTTAGAGTTGTCTTTTATTGTGGCCAGCCTAAGGCACACCTTTGCAATAGTCATGCTGTCTAATCAGTACCTTGATATGCCACACCTATGAGGTGGATGGATTATCTCGGCAAAGGAGAAGTGCTCACTAACACAGATTTAGACAGATTTATGAACAATATTTGAGAGAAATAGTCCTTTTGTGTACTTGGAAAAAGTCTAAGATGTTTGAGTTCAGCTCATGAAAAATAGGGGCAAAAACAAAAGTGTTGTGTTTATAATTTTGTTCAGTGTAGCTATACCTGTCGGGATCCCGCGGGTGGCTGCGAGGGGAGGCTGCACTCCGCTCGCGGTACTCACCCTCCAGCCGTCCGCGGTCCCCTCCTCCTCGTGGGTCCGGCGAGCGGCATCCTTCCAGCCTCGGATGCTGCCCGCCGTTCCCTCCACGTCCCCCAGCGGAAGCATACATGACGCTGCACGCTGGGAGACCGCCCAGGTTTATACACGCCGGGGTCAGTCACCTGACCTGGCATTAAAGGCACAGTGCCTTAATCACAGTGGGAGGTCTAGATATCTCCCACGTGTGATTGTTAATTCTGATTGGAAATTATCCAATCAGAATTAACCTTATGGTTTAAATACTTACCTTTCCTGTTCCTCCCTGCCCTGTTGTGGTCTTTGCTTTCTAGTATTGCTACTTACCTTGTGCTTCTGGTTACGTACTCTCTGGCTTGTTTATCTGACTCTGTGACTTTCTCCTACCCTTTGACCTCGGCTTGTTTCACGTTATTCTGTCTTCTGGTTCCCCTTACTCGGCTTGTCTCCTGACTATTCTGTGTGTGCTTAGCCCTCTAAGGTCCGGTACGGCACCTTTTGTGTGTGTGTGTGTGTGTGTGTGTGCCAGCGTGTTGGGTTCCCCGAATCGTGACAATACCAAGTGCATCTTTTTTTTAAATAGATCTTCTCATTGTTACTCTTAATTGACAATACAGTTAATTTGAGCCTCTATAGGACTTGTGTTCTGATTTAATGCAACTGTTCAATGGTGATATGGCTGGTCCTCTCCAATACATCAATACTAGTATAAGTGAGCAATATTTTTTTTAACATAACCTACCATATCCCAGCAGCTGGCCAACTTTTACTATTTTTTACCTGAGTAAAATTGAGCAAGATGCTGCCGTTAGGCTAGTTCTTTTAATAGGGTTTTCTATGTAGCCAGATATTCTTAACTTAGAGCTGCCTTGAAGCAGCTAGCTATCCTCAGGGTAAGCATATGGAGCTAGTGCTTTATTCACTAACTCTAACACTTTTTGCAGTATTAGATTCTGAAACTAGGGAAAGACTGGAAATTTAAATATCGGTCAGTGTTGGGAGGATAGCTCTTAACATAGCACCTTAGTATCTTAATGGGGAAATGGCATGCTTTGGTCCTGGTTGGGGTATTACTTTAACATAACACCAACTCAGGCACTATGCTGTCTGTTCTTATCCCAGATACTTTCTCTATTTTTATGTTACATTTAAAGGGCTCTTTTTACCCTCACCTCCCACACTTAGAGTAGTGAGTTCTCTGACCGATAAGGTAGGGGTGGGGTAGTTACTATTGCTCCATACACCTCTTTTTTAATTCCTTTCATTTGAACTACTATATTTGGCTGGAACTCATTTCAAATAGCCCCAGCTTTGTTTAAATATTGCTATCTGGAGGGGTGGGGCCTGACCATCATGGCGGAGAGTTGTGTTCTCCACGAGCTCCTGCACAACCTTGGCAAAAATGAGGACAATATGGCCCCTAAAAGCGACACAGATGGCAACTCCAGACACCCTCCTGCCACCCAAAACAGGGGGCACACGATGGGACGTCAGGCGACCCGATTGGGGCCAGCTGGAACCACGACTGACTTGGATGCATACTGAAGCTGCTCACAGCACAAGCCAGCCCTGTTACTTCCCCTCCCGGACCGGCGGGGGTGATGCCGGTACACCCAGGGGTGGCTACCCTAGGCATACAGAGAAGCAGAATTGCGCCACAGCGGGATAAAGGAGACCTCCCTAAAATGGCTGACGCGGCAAGTGCCGATAATTCAACAGACACTTCACAAGATATCCTCACACAAATCCGCAACCACTTTGAGACATTCTGGAGGAAGCTGGAGGATAAGCTATACCTACATGCCCTACCACGGCCTACCACCTTTGCAAAGCGATCACCGCTACTCAACTCCCAGCAAGTGAAATGGCGCCCTTGCAGCCGCCCAACACCCACACACACCCGGGCACGGCGCCAACGCAGACCTACTCACCAACCTCATCGCGGCTCCACCACACGCCGACCCAGCATAGACCTACTCCACGCTCCCAAATCACCCTGGCAAAAGGGACACATGCTACAGCGCCAATCACAGGCACAGAATAGACCCAGGGGACATGGTCCGGGACAAGTGCCTCGCTACCCGATGCCAACCATGACGCAGCGGTGTAAAGGACTTTGTGACTGGCAGCATACATGCATAATGAAGGGAGTACTCTTGGTGCCCTGGGGTGGTAGCCTACCAGCAGTGGGCTGAGCCACCCAATATACAGACTATCAGGAAAGTGCACAATAGTGGAAGGACAGCTAGGCATAATGCAGCTAAGCAATCAGCTTAAGCTTATCCTTGCTCTCCATCTAAATGAAAGCCAAATAGTGTGCAATTTAGTCCTGCTACCCCACTGAAGCAAACTGACAGTCCACTCCACATCACCTTATCTTAAGCTCCTACTCACTAACATGTTGTCATAATTAGCATTTACTTGGTCTAACTGTAGAAATGTGCAAATCACACAGTACAGAAGTGCAGTCTAACTTGAGTTTAACTTGCGGGACGAATCTCAGCCATTAGACCAACCTTATAGCCTGGGAAGCCTTGTTAACCTTGCAGAGTTAATCCAATACCACAATACACTACTGCATATATTTAACATGTAACTGAACAGTACCCACATAAGCAAATACAGGAGTGCCTGGGCTAACATGTAACCTAACATTTAATTAAGACTCCAGCAGTACCGTCCAAGCGTTGCCTATCTTACCTGATTTACATATGCTATACTACTGCTTAATAGTCAAAGCGTGAACAATCGTACCAAACTGCACTTATGCACTGCAAAAAAAAAAAGAATAAAAAAAAAAAAAATTGCTATCTGTCTCCCTTTCTTATACCTACTCCGGATATACTTTTATATTGTATATTCAATTATCCTGTGAACATATTGACCTGTTTCCTTTTGTTGTGATATTGCTCTGCTAGCTATATTCTCAAATATACTTCAAAGACATATAGTCTATAACATTGTAACTTCGAAAAGCTACTGAAACAATCACTATATACCTAGGTGGATTCATATAAAATACAGGGAGTGCAGAATTATTAGGCAAATGAGTATTTTGACCACATCATCCTCTTTATGCATGTTGTCTTACTCCAAGCTGTATAGGCTCGAAAAGCCTACTACCAATTAAGCATATTAGGTGATGTGCATCTCTGTAATGAGAAGGGGTGTGGTCTAATGACATCAACACCCTATATCAGGTGTGCATAATTATTAGGCAACTTCCTTTCCTTTGGCAAAATGGGTCAAAAGAAGGACTTGACAGGCTCAGAAAAGTCAAAAATAGTGAGATATCTTGCAGAGGGATGCAGCACTCTTAAAATTGCAAAGCTTCTGAAGCGTGATCATCGAACAATCAAGCGTTTCATTCAAAATAGTCAACAGGGTCGCAAGAAGCGTGTGGAAAAACCAAGGCGCAAAATAACTGCCCATGAACTGAGAAAAGTCAAGCGTGCAGCTGCCACGATGCCACTTGCCACCAGTTTGGCCATATTTCAGAGCTGCAACATCACTGGAGTGCCCAAAAGCACAAGGTGTGCAATACTCAGAGACATGGCCAAGGTAAGAAAGGCTGAAAGACGACCACCACTGAACAAGACACACAAGCTGAAACGTCAAGACTGGGCCAAGAAATATCTCAAGACTGATTTTTCTAAGGTTTTATGGACTGATGAAATGAGAGTGAGTCTTGATGGGCCAGATGGATGGGCCCGTGGCTGGATTGGTAAAGGGCAGAGAGCTCCAGTCCGACTCAGACGCCAGCAAGGTGGAGGTGGAGTACTGGTTTGGGCTGGTATCAAAGATGAGCTTGTGGGGCCTTTTCGGGTTGAGGATGGAGTCAAGCTCAACTCCCAGTCCTACTGCCAGTTCCTGGAAGACACCTTCTTCAAGCAGTGGTACAGGAAGAAGTCTGCATCCTTCAAGAAAAACATGATTTTCATGCAGGACAATGCTCCATCACACGCGTCCAAGTACTCCACAGCGTGGCTGGCAAGAAAGGGTATAAAAGAAGAAAATCTAATGACATGGCCTCCTTGTTCACCTGATCTGAACCCCATTGAGAACCTGTGGTCCATCATCAAATGTGAGATTTACAAGGAGGGAAAACAGTACACCTCTCTGAACAGTGTCTGGGAGGCTGTGGTTGCTGCTGCACGCAATGTTGATGGTGAACAGATCAAAACACTGACAGAATCCATGGATGGCAGGCTTTTGAGTGTCCTTGCAAAGAAAGGTGGCTATATTGGTCACTGATTTGTTTTTGTTTTGTTTTTGAATGTCAGAAATGTATATTTGTGAATGTTGAGATGTTATATTGGTTTCACTGGTAATAATAAATAATTGAAATGGGTATATATTTGTTTTTTGTTAAGTTGCCTAATAATTATGCACAGTAATAGTCACCTGCACACACAGATATCCCCCTAACATAGCTATAACTAAAAACAAACTAAAAACTACTTCCAAAAATATTCAGCTTTGATATTAATGAGTTTTTTGGGTTCATTGAGAACATGGTTGTTGTTCAATAATAAAATTAATCCTCAAAAATACAACTTGCCTAATAATTCTGCACTCCCTGTATACGACAGGTCAGGCTGGTTTATTAGATTTCCCCTTTTGTTTTATTATAACTTTTCTTGACACTTACACTTTTTTGTTATCACTTCTTTTTCACGTTATTTGTGTGGTTATTCGTCTAACGCTATTTACTGAATAAAGATTGAAGTACATGTAATTTTATCATTTAAACTGAGTTGTTAACTCTCCTGATGGATAACCTTTAGTGGCCTCCCTCGAAGAGTGGGTTTAAAACAGGATGAAACATGTAGGTACTAGGAAATCTCTCCTTTGGGATGATATTTTAAGCTGGTGGGAAAATCGCCTCCGTGAACAGCTGTAACAAACTTTCTGAGTTTATTGGAGACCATATTTGGCATCCTGAGTGCCTGCAGAATTAACTCTTTGAGCAGTACAGCTTAGCACAGAGATACAGTAGACAGAGTAGGAATAAAGCACTAACCCACTTAGAACCTGCTCTACAGGCTAACTCACTATTGACATTGATCACATTTCAACTACTCACAAGCAGTATGGATATCAGATCACGCAAAAAACAGAACATCTACAATTATACTTCTGAATTATTGCCAGGATATTGAAAAAATAAAAATTTTTAAAAATGCACACACACATACAAACCATAAACATACATACATAGTCAAAGGCCAGAACTCACCAAAATACATGAGATATGAGCCATACTGGAGTTGACCAGTTTTTTAAAAATACATTACAGAAATAAAACATTAAACAATTTATGCAAAACAATACTAAAATAATAATAAAAAAATATTCACTTTGATATTCCTGAATTTGCTGCAAATAGGTGTAGACAGCGCAGCATCTGCAATTAACTCTAACCATACAAGGAAGCACCAAACATGATGCACAATTAACATTTTATAGTGACTAAAAATATAGTGTGTGACTGTAAGTAAAGAAAAAAAATCACATAAAAACGTGAATAAATATTAAAAAAAGTTGAGCCTGTATCTACTTTACATTTAACTTTTTATAGGACTTCTGAGTTTATCCCATTAGCAATAGATTATGGACACAGTAAGTGTTTCTGGGAGTTGTAATCTGTTGTGTTTCTACTGTAGAAACAGCTAAGTCATGGCACCATATATAGCAGTACTACTAGAACGAAAAATTAAACACTGCAGGTTCTGTGCTCATGTCCTAAATGGTGGTTTTATGGAGTAAATAATAAGGTCAATACAAAACACATTATACTATTTAATTGTGTAAATTGTGGTCATCTGTTTGAGGCAGACCTAACCTTTATTTGTATATACTGCTGATAGCCAGGGCCAGCGCTTCCTATAAGGCGAACTAGGCAGCCGCCTAGGGCGCCAAATAGGAGGGGGCACCCATCGCCGGCCCTAATGCTGCAGCTGCCTGAGCTCTCTGTAAAGAGCCTCAGGCGGCTGCAGCACTGCCTCTTTCCTCACCTCCCCTTCCCTGTAGCGTTGCCGAGCTCCTCTCCAGTCCATGGTACCCTGCCGGACTCAGCGTGCACTTCCTGTTAGTCCGGCCGGGTAAAGGAACGCGGACCGGAGAGGAGCTCGGCCACACTACAGGGAAGGGGAGGTGAGGAAATGGCAGAACACAGAGAGAAGGGAGGGAGGGTGGGGGAGTAAGGAGAACACAGGGAGAGTAAGGAGAACACGGGGAGTAAGGAGAACACAGGGAGGAGGGGTTTATAAGAAGAACGGGGAGAAAGTAGCAGCCACAGGAGGAGGGGAGTAAGAAGAACACAGGAGGGGGAGCAAGGAGAGAACACACAGGAGGAGGGGAGAAGGAGAAATCAGGGATAAGAAGAACACAGGAGTGAGTGGGGAGAGGCAAAGAAAACGGGGGAGAGTAAGAAGAACACAGGGAGGGGGGTGAGGAGAAGGGGAGATGAGGAGAACACAGGGGGAGTGAGAAGAACACAGGGAGCGTGGGGGTGAGGAAAAGGGGAGTTGAGGAGAACACAGGGAGGGGGGTGAGAAGAACACAGGAAGGGTGGGTGTGAGAAGATACCGCTAGGGGAGGGTGGGGGGAGAGGAGAGTCCACTAATGGGCAGGGGAGAGCTCTATAGGACAGGGGGCAAGACAGGGAGCTCTTTCACACTACGCACACACACACACACACACACACAATGCATCCCTACACACACAGAAACACAACATGCTTCACTTACACATAGAGAAAACACAATGCATCCATTACACACACACACACACACACACACAATGCAGCCCTTACACACAAAGACAATGCATCCTTTGCACTCATACACAGAAACACACAATGCAAACAGGGCCGGATTAACATAGGGGCTGATGGAGCTGCAGCTCCAAGCCCAAGCCCATGGAATAGTCCCATTGATTTACACACTACTCTTAGGGTTGCCAGGTATTTCTCAGAAGTATTTCTCAGGTATTTGAGGCTACCTAGTCGGTGCCGTTATTGCAATTATACCGGCAATACAAGTGTCAGTCTCAGTATAAACAGAGATTATTCTGCAATATCAGCGACGGCCAGTAGGGGTCGC